ACAATAGAGGTAAAAGTGGGGTGTGTTGTCCACATTTTTTCAAATCTAAATATGTGATTCCTAGGTATATTTTGAGGTTGTGGTGCTACTAGTAACGGGCAATGGTCAGAGTAAGTTCGCGGAAAGTGTTGTACTATTGCTTCAGGAAATAAATTAAGCCACTCATAGTTGGCTAGTAATCTAATCTAATCTTTCTAGTATAGTGTGACCTAAATGTCTTTTATTAGTCCAAGTAAATCGACTACCTTAAAACCTAAGTCGACTAGATGACAATAGTTGAGGCAGTTTACAAAGGCATCAATCCCAGTGTTATTAATAGGGTTACCCCCAAATTTTTCAGTAGCCCTAGCTACCTCATTAAAGTCCCCCTACTAACCAAGGGTATGTAAAAGAATCATGCATGCATTTTAAATTTTACCAAAGATTGCTAAATGAGACAGTGGAGTTATTGGCATATATGGATGAAAATAACCAGTTGAGGGGATTAGGCCATACCTGGACCATGCAATGCACTTCTTGTGTTGTCATAGTAACATCTTCGACCGTAACAAGTTTAGCATGCCATAGTAATACCATACCACCAGACATATCTTGGGCTTCCATTTGTGCCAAATGTGAGAAATTGAAGTCAATTTTAAGATAGTATAGCCATGCATACGGGTCTCTAAAAGGACTACTAGGACTGGCCTATAGTTATCCAATATTGACCTAAATTGCCTTCTAAATTCCCCGTTGTTAGAACCTTTACAATTCCAGACGATTAGATTCATAATAGATTGGTATCTAAATTAGCATAGTCACTCGGCACTCCCAATGGGGTTCGAGTTGAAGTCATCTGCCTCAGAGTGGGAAATATTACCATGGAATATTTCTCTTCCTGTGGATTTGGATGTGGTCTGAGATTGATATTGCATCTCAGCCTTTCTGCAAGTTCCAATTTAGAAGGCTGAAATTGACCATTAGAAAACAAAACAATGTAGCTCTGGTGGGCATTTGAGTATGAACTTTTTTGCATACTGCTCCTTGACAATGTATAGATAGAACCCCTTTAGCCATATGAACTCCGTCCTGGTTTTTCTCGATTCCTCCATTATTTATGCTAATTCTAGCCTTGTTTGTTCTCCTAGTGCGTTGGGCGATGGAGATGGTATGGTTGGTGGACTCATGGGTGGTGATAAAGGGTCCTGGGTGCTGGACGGGGATATGAGTATGTGTGGTGGTGGAAAGGAGTTCATGTGCTGGAACCATAGGACATATATCAACCCCGTGTGGTGTTATGGATAGAAGGGCAGGAGGCTCATTACTTGGTTGAAGCTGTATAATGGAGGAGTGGGGGGATTGGCCCATGGTGAGTTGTTGGACGATAAGGGCAGTGTGTGGTCCACCATCAGAGGAGTATGGAGATTGGGCCAGTAGTTCTGTGCAACTGCTTCCATCCCTAGTCTCATGCCCTCTGTGACAATCTCCGCTAAGTGAGATAGATTCTGGACTAGGAGAATAATTTCCTAGTTGTTGAGTTCCATGGTGAATATTAGGTCATAGCCCTGCAGCCCCATTTCCAACCAAGACTGGAGAGGGTATTCCAGTGGTGATGATTGGGATGTGTATATCAATGGTGTTGTAGGGTTGGGGTGGGGTGGTCCGCTCATGATTAATCATGGGAAATGGAAGAATTAGTTGTTGGTTTGGTTGACCTCTCTAAAGTTGGTTAGCTAGGGTCATTGCATTTTGAGTTAGTAAAGGGGTTGGAGTTATATGTTCGCTGGGTAGAGTGGGGCAAGTGATGGTTAGAGTTATGGTGGAGGATGTATGAGAGGTTGTGGTATGGATATCTGGTAGTATAGTAGGCATAGGGTTAGCCATGGAGAGTTGTGATTCACATGGGTGCAAATCATTGTCTGTCATGGAAGGGGCAGAGCTTTTGCGTGTATTTGGAGAAGGAAGGTTGGTGATTGGCCGTTGAGGGGTATCATGCAAGGAGACAGCTCCTAAGTGGGCTACTATAAATTTTGGGTATAAATTGTTAGAAAGAGAAGGTGATGTGTCATTTGTAAGGTTCCTTGAAGTAGTATTTGTGCCAGCTATACTAGCTATATGAGAGGGTTGGGATAGAGGTTGAGTCTCGATTAGGTCTGTAATAATTAGGGAGTTTTTATTATTATTTAGTGCAGCTAATGGAATGGGCTCTATAATCATGTTAGTTGGGCTTATTATAGTTGGTGAGATATTTTTAGGAGAGGTATTGTGTAATAGAGGTTGGTCTGGAGTGGGCTGAGTGACCGCATTTTTTGGGTTTGCTGATGTGTTATTATGTGGCAGGTCTGGGCTTGGAGGTCTAGTAGGAATTAGTGTAGAATGCCCAATATTGGGACAGTGGGTTGGTGATTCCATAGGGTCGATTTGGTCTAACGTGCCGAAGGGGTTAGTGGTTAACAAAAGGTGCTTGCTAGTATTGGCCCATGCACGAATAGAATTAGGGTTAGTGACCTTACTTGTACTTGCATGTTGCTCTGTGGCGGCCACCGACTTTCCTGTCCTCTGTTGATGGTGTTGAGCAGTTGCCTGTAGATGGTAAGCTTGTGGTTGGATTTTGCGTGGTTGATTTCGCCTGTTGTTGGTAGTTATTTTTTTAGGGAAGCTGATAATTTTCCATTCGGAGTCAGGAGTAGTATTTGTGGGGATGGAACATTGCTTGGTTACAGGATTGCCTGGTAGGGAGTTTAGAGGTGGTGTTGGTGAAAACTGACAATTCCAACTTGCATGGCCAAATCTGCCACACTTTGTACAAAGCAGATTTAGGCTTTCATATAGTAGTACCTGCTTGTGTGAGCCAATATGGATATGGGTTTTGAGAGGCTTTTCCAATAGTACCTCTATGCATATTCGTGCATACCGGCCTCGTGTGGTGGTAGTGGTACATGTATCAACTTTTAAGAGTTGGCCAATCTTGTTGCCCGCCTTTTTTAAAATTTTAAAATCGTAAAACTCCGTGGGAAGTTCCGGTAGTCTCACCCATAAAGCAGCATAAGTTAGCTGTGCTGCTGAGGCAATAAACTCGGGTTCCCAACGATGAACGGATAAGAAATGGTTGAGTATGAACCATGGCCCCTCATGTAGAGCCGTACACATATTGGTTTCATAATGGAATTTGATAAGGAAGAAGTTAGAGCCCAAGTCAATTAGGTGAATTTCTTCTGTGGGGTTCCATAAGTGTGTGAGTTTAGTTTTTAATAGTTGGTGGCCAACCATTTTGCCAAACACCTTTATGATGATGGAATATTGCCAGGGGGTGTAAAGTCTAGCTTTGTCTTCGGTGGTCAGAGGGATGAAATTATCTAGATAGCCATCGTTTGAAGTTTCAGCAGTTAAATCAACTAAGTTTGTTATTGGTTGAGTATCCAGAATGTTGGTAGGGAGTTGTGAAGTTGAAGTGGAGGTGAGAGTTTGCAGGAAAGATTTAGGTGGGGATTGGAAATTTGGTTTATCGATTTGCATGGTGTTTTGATTTGGTGGGTCCATTTGAGGATTGGGGATGATAAGGTATCAGATGCTGAGGGTATTGATTGATAGATGAAGAATTGTGTGTTGCAAGGTTGGAAAGCAGGGAAAGAATTTAGAGAGGGGCGAGAGTAACATCTTAGAGAGAGAATCCAGTCTTCTTTGAATACTTCAGTTATTCTTGGATCTGGCAGAAATGCAAGACAAGAATCTTAATAAAAAACTTGTTTTTGTATGTTTGTAATAGGACCACATTCTCTCTACAAAGTCAATGTGTTTTTTTACAAATGAATGTCTCATATCCTATATCATTGTGTCTCTTTCTATTTATGGGAAACAAGTTCCTAGAAAACCCTAATAGTACAGGTGCAGAATATTCACTTTAATGTCCACTAGAATATTCACTTTAATATTCTATCTTGAAACTAGTTGTTATAACTCTGCCAAGGATGTTCCACCTCGACCTTGATCTTTGATGACTTTTGGACCGCGACCTTTGTTGTTTCTTGAACCACCTCGTCCTTGGGCAGGTCTATTAGAGTCACATAGGTGACATATGGCGGCCTCCATATGCCTTACCAATACTATTATAGCTCGAGTATTTTAGAGATAATTTTTGACTCATACAAGGTTGATCTATCCAATTTGGTTTGTACCTTAAAATTAAAAATAATACGTTCTGACTTTTTGTAAAGATATTACAAGTGTGATTCGTCTAACATTTTGAGGCAAATACATCATTTTTTAATTATTAATAATGAGTTCTACTTAAATTTGAATATTCACATTTCTTTTTAAATTATTTCTCTATATTCGTCCATATTCAAGCTAAAATAATTTGAAACTTTAAAGAATCATGCAAAGGAAGAGGACTTTTGGTCCAACCATGTTCAAAAGGAATAACTAGGCAGTGGGTTGCTTTGGATTTTCATTCCAACCATCGGGTAACAACTTATTAATAAGTTGCTTAAAAGAATGAAAGCTTATAGCCTGTTTGACAAGCTTTCTTTAGTTTTAGAAATACTTTTTTTCGCTGTTTTTCAAAGTTGGAGTGTTTGGCCAAGCTTTTAGAAGGAAAAATATTTTTGAGGAGAAGCAGAAGCAGTTTTGAATAAGCAGAAAAAAGTAACTTCTCTTCAGAAGCATTTTTAAGAAAAATACACTTTAAAGTAGTTTTTAAAAGCTTGATCAAACACTAATTGCTGCTCATAAATACTTTTCAAATTAATTAGCCAAACACAAATTACTTCTCACCAAAAGTACTTAGGAGAAAAGTACTTTTAAAAAGACACTTCTTAGAATAAATTGATTTTTGCATCTTGGCCAAATGGGCTATTAATTGTTAGTTCTATTATTAAAGTACTCTTTCGCAATTCAGCCAAAAGTAAAAAAAAATAAAAAAGGAAAATAAGAAAAAAGCAGCAGCACCTACACTTTCGCCACTGTAAGCTTGAACCCGGTTCCAGTGCCGCTGGGCTGTGGCACTATGGCTCAAGGTACTTTCTAATTTCCTTTATTTCAAGCGTTTTCTTATGGGTTTGTATTCCACAAGCGTTAGCAACTTAGGTGAAACGAACAAATAGGAGGTTGTGCCCGTTTCTCTGTGTATGTATGTGTGTTCGTGTGGTTTTGGAGAGGAGTAGCTTTATTTGTTTAGAGGACTTAGAGGTCTTTTGGTTTGAAGACAAGTTATGCTGGGATTAGTTCTTGTTGTTGTTTACTGCTTCCAACATCTGACAGGTCTAAGTTATCGCAATGTTAATTTTAATCTCGAGATAACTTATTCGAGTATTAATAGACAAGCAAGTGATAAGGCGGTACTAAATTTTTAATTCCAGGATTATTTTTGCTAGTCCATCGTACCAAACGACCTCTTAGAGTCTTCTGTATAGATCATGTGCTCTGGTTTTGTTCAAATTTGGTTCTGGTGGACAAATGGACTTTGAGTTTTGAAGAGGAAAGTTATAAAAGAATTCGTCTAGACCTTAAGGCTAATGCGTAATAGATATTTTTAATTGGACTAAGCTTAGGTGTGACACCATGATGATTGAGGTAGACTATCAATCACATGTATTAGATCCAATAATTGATAGGAGTCTTTTAAGTTTGTTTGAAGATTGTATGACAGTGTGGCGATAGGTGTAAGATTTAGAGAATCTCTATTTTGTCCTAAATGACCAATAATTGAGTGGTAGAAATGAAATGGATCAAAACGTGTTATGAACTCAACAAACTCAACACCTACAGGGGAAAGATGCATAATTATAATGGAAATGCAAAGTATATAGTCATAAACTAAGGAAATAGTAACAGAAAGAAAGGAGATAAGGAGACAAAGCTATAGAGAGAAATGGACGAGGGAGAGAGAGACCAGGAGAGGGGAATTCCTCACAACAATTCGCATAACCTTCTTGCTAACTGCTAGTCCCTTTTAACCGATTCCTGACAGCACCTCTTGGGCCTGGATCCCAAATTCACTTTTTTAAAGGTCTTCTTGTCCTCTGGCTTCTTCTCGCCCCAATAGCTCTTTTCAGCCCAATATTGGGTTGGGGCTAATTCATAACAATATTCCCGTCCTCAATAAAAAAGAAACCAGCAGTCCCATATGTACTAGCAACACTAGTGCGGGTAATGATGTTTACTGAAGCGACATCAATGACAAGCACAAACCTTGGAATACATGTTGCTTTGACGAGCTCATCTCTATCACAAGTAGAAAGGAAAACAAGTACTCCCCCCATAACAAAGGCAAGTTTTGCCACTAGAAGCTCTAGCAAAACAAATGCAGCGAATGGTAATCCTTCAGAGACTTCAAGGCTAGGTATGGTGATTTTGCTCAATGAGGGCCACAACGACTTTTTGCTATCATATGTGGACTGTTCAGAATCCCTCTTAGCTTAATGGATATAGAGGATTCATATGGCCGACCTAAGCTAGTGTACGAGTGAGGCATAATTGTTTTTTTTACCTTGCCCAGCCGTCAATACAGCTCTTAGACTAATGATCTTCTGAAATTCCTGCTTACTTTTTAGTAAAACTTTTACATTGCTGAAACCCTTCAAGTTATAACTAGCTGCCCAAATTTGCATGATAATATACTACTAATTTTAAGCTAGCAATCATTACATAATTTTAACCTTCCCGTGGCGAATCACTCCATATTTGCAAGCCTATGCCCATTGGCTTCTGCAACACATGTGCGACACTTCTTCTGTACCATCTGGCAATTTCCTGTGTTAACTGAAAATGGTCTCATGCTTTTCATGGATACGTGAATGTAGACTCTAGGACAATTGGATTGTGAGCTCAACATTGTGCAAAATAAGCCTCGTAATCCTATGATACAAGATTAAATGCTTCACAGTGAAGATGAGGATTATTATGATATTACTGTTTAAATTCTCCGTAAGCAGTAATATACGGGCCACTTTCTCTTTGATGGACTAGATTTTTTTCTTGCTACTTGATGCTTGTTGCAATGTCTTCTATCACTAGTTCCCAATTTCTCACACAATATAAGTAACTCCTGCTTTGGCCGAGCTGCAAGATTATGGCGTTTTGAATTGTAGTTCATATTGACTAGTAGGTCTCCTTGCAAGCATGTAATTTCAGAACTAGAAGTTGAGGTGCATGTTGTTGTTTTTATTTTATAAATCACAATAAGATAATAATTGTATCAATATAGTAGGAAATCCCTAGGTGTAGAAGTGGTATACAAAAAGTAGAGAACCTGTCCAAAACATGGTTCTCTATGAAAGACATACAACCATCTTTACTAACTAGAACCTCAATGGTGTACCAAAACTTTACAAGGAACAAAAGACAAATGCTTACATATATACAGACGTATTTTTGAAGGGAGAAAAGGCTAGCAGTTGAGTATTTGGACAAAGCGAGTAGTTCAGTCAATACAATACAGAAATTCCTTGCCAAATCAATATACCGTAAGGTTGGGGCCTCTTACGTATTGGAAGTCGCTAAAGTGTTTGCATGTTTTCTTGCATGTCCATATTCCCATTTTGTGCATATGATTCTAATAGCCCAGTTTCAATTTCAACAGTTTCTGCTGCATTAAGTTCCTACAGAAAAGGCTTCCATCAGTTAATCTTTTGTGACAGTGAGTACAGCATGCACATCAAGCAGTGCATCTACTGAGTCGACTATTTTATAACTATAATTCTAAGGCATTTGTTCTTTGTCCTTAGTTTATCCATGCGATGCATGTTATTCTAAATCGACAGCAGGAAAAGTTTTTGGCTCCTACTCTGCTCAATGGGCAAATTTTAGTGTCTACATTTACTTCGTTTTGTTCGAATATGTTTGCCAACACCGTGACAAATGCTAAACTGTCTGATTTCGAGTTACTACAATCAAACTGGGCTCATAATCTGGGCCGATTTGGTCTAGAAAAAGAACTCTTCTGTACCTATATTTCACTTTCTAAAGTATCCATTGCTTTCCTTGATTGCATAAACTAACCAAGTTTAGAGTGTCGGTCCAACCCATGTCCACTTGGCTCCGGAATTCTTCCCACTAGGTTTCTGGTTTCATATATCTCAGTTTGTTGATCTCATGAACATGTATGTAACCTTTCATTGGTAATTTTATCAAACTTTTACGCAAAATGTGGCTATATGTGTACTCCTAAATTTTGTATGACTAGAGTGAGTATTTTGCCAAATGCAAATTGTCTTCTTAGTCCTCCATTTATGCATGCTTGCTTTCCTCCTCTTGTGGTCTCTTACAATATTATGACGTCTTGCTTGGTCAAATATTAGTGCAGATATAAAACATCTCAGTCCTTGGTGGTTCAATTCTACTTGTATCTTAAGTGGTCTGCCAACATTGGTTCGGTTAAGCACATTTGCCTTTTAATGCAGATGTAGCTTTAAAAGTGCGCTTCAGGAGTCTCAGCACAAATGAAAATTCACGATTTTGAAAAATACAAGTCGAGCACATAACAACTTAACAAGTATGTACGGTTGTCCATCCTTTAAATGATTATTCTTTATGATATGAAGCCAGTTAGAAAAGGAATTAGAAATAAATTTTAAATACAAGATCAAGTTGAGATGGTAGAATTTTAGGTGTTGATAAGAGATTTTTCAGTAGGACAACTTGCTTTTTGCTCCTCAAGTTATTGCTTGATTTCAATTTCCCTGGTTCTTTCAGTAATATAATTGACCAATCTTTAACAACCCCATAATTTACAGAGTCTTCCATCCCCTTCTTCTTTTGTCTATCCCTCATATCCTTGATAATCCTTCTTCAGACCTTGTAACCCCTTATGTACTCCTGAACTTTGCTCCCTACTTCTTGCAACCTTGCCATTTGCCTTGAAAACTGTTATTCTCTGCCTTTCCCGTGGTTCATAAATGGTACCGCAACATGTGCAATAATAATTTGGGGCAGAATTGCATGCAAAGGTTAAGGGTAGTTAAAGATGGGGTTGCAAAGTGCAGGGAAGGTCTTAGAGCCACTTAGCAATTATTTGAATGCTAATTGCACACTGATGATTACTCATTTTGTTACTCGGGTTTCACCTCCATATTGTTAATATTGTGCATCAACAATATACCACATTGTGATTTTTTCAATTTAATTTAAGGTAATTGCAGAAGCGGGATTAATATATATTTCGTGTTTCTCTTAAAGAAAATCAGGTGATTAATTTTAGAAAATTTATTCTTATGCTTATCATTTTTTAAAATATTTGCGAGAAGTTCGGATTTTGGTGCATATGTATTATTTATTGAATCAAACAGTATTAACTAATGAAAACTTTGGAGAAACAAAGGCGAAGTAGGGTATCAACCTGAATTCACTAAGCATAAGCTTTACATAAATGTACAAAATCTGAAAAATAGTCAAAGAAAAAAGTCACTCATATCTGGAATATCTTATCTTTCACCTGAATCAGACCCTAAATACACCGGGACATCGATCAAACAATCCACATTAAGTTGGTTGTGGATCTCGTTAGTCCGTAGTTGAGCAATATCTCCATGAAATTCTTTTACGTTAAATATTTTTAAGAGAGGATTCAAATTAAGTTAGTTGCACAGCCTCTCTACCCCTTGGGGTAGGGGTAAGGTATGTGTACACTCTATCCTCCCTAGATCCCACTTGTGGGATTTTACTGGGTTGTTGTTGTTGCTAAGCTGATCTATTCATTGTTGCATTATTTCAGGCTCATCTCATAGACCTAAGCATCCGTTTGAACATCTCAGCCTTGGAGACTGTTTTTATTTATTTATGAACATCTACCGCTGGCTTTATACAGTTCTTTCTTTCTTAAAAAGCCTCATGAAATTCTTGAATAATTGCTCTAGTTAAGAATCCCCACAAAGTGGAACTCTCAGCCTTGTTGAAGATTTGGTTTCTACGTGTGCCTACTGATTGGGTGCGTGTCCTATTAAATTCTACACGTTTCACAGATTATGTCATTTCTTGAGGAGACTGCCAAATTGCAAGTGGGAGAATGAATCAAGTAACGTCCTGACTAGTATTGTCGGCATTTGGTAATGAATATAACGTCGACTATCCTTTTCTTTTATGACTTGGACTTCTACTATTTGTAAAGACATGTATATTATGGTGATTGGTGTAAAGTTGTGTTGTTTTTCAAAATCCCGTTTGTGCTTATTGTGCATACGTAGGTATATTTACGTGTCTACATTGGCCTATGTAGGACAGAAGTTTATTAGTACTCATTGTGGCATAGCATTTGCTCCTAAATTCGCAAAAAAGACTGCGACAACCTTTGTGAATACATGTCAACTGTTAACTAAAATCAACATTCCTGAAATAGTGCATGCTCAAAGCATGGTGATGTTTAAATCTTTAGTTTATTTATCTACTTGTTAATTTGTGTATGGTGAATGGTGATTGAAACAACATAATCATCCTAAAGTTTTATTTGCATCTCCATGTTATGGGTGAACTCTCATGTACAATAAAAGAACAAGAATATAGATGCTAAATTCAACAGAGTGGCGCTCAAGATTTATGTTGTCTGATGTATTTGAAGGGGGGAGTTGCAGGCAATCTTTCCTCAGCTTACATAGTATCTCATCATCTTGTATGTGGAAGACACTAGACATCTCAGCGGAGAGAAGACGACCTGGAATTCGTAGGGTAAATATTTTGTTCTATTCACTTCATAATTTGAGTTAGATAAGTCCTTTTTTCGCTGTTTGAAATTCAAGTCATGTAAGTCTCTGAATATGCAGACAGTTTGTCAAGAAAATATTCAAATGCTTCATGACTATTGCTCCTTGTAAGTAACCTGATTATGTAGTATGCTTTGGAGTCTCCAACATCAGCCTGTCGTCATTAACTCTGATGCTTATTTCAATCATGTTTTACTGAAAAGCAAATTATTGATTTGCATAATGTTGCTTGGACATGGTTTACAGGTCTGAATATAATGAATTTTCTCAATTCTTTCTTGGATTAAATCTTTTAGTTATTGCCCCATGTGGATGCTATAGACTTGCTATTATGTTTGCTTTTGTTGTACTTAAATCATTTCTTCTTTGGTTGGTTTGAGTGGATGAATGGCTTAGGAGGGATATGACAAGTTTGTTCCATTTCTAAGTAATGACTCTATATTCTAGTTTCTACAGATGTGCACTAACTAAAGTTTGACTTGATGATTAGACATTTTTATTCAAGAATATGGTACATATAGAAAACTTGAAAGCAAAGCCTTGCATATATTTTGATCAAGATTCTGGCTACGCTTAACATCATTTCAACTAGGTAGAACCTAGCCTAAGAATTCTGGGTGTGTTTCTTTTATAGATTCTTGTTGATTACTGTTATATATTTGTACAAATTGCAGTCAGTTGAAACTTAAAAGTTTTTGAGGCTGATCCTGGCCAAATTGGGACCACAACGAAAATACTTGAGGAATTTCTTTTTCAATGCTTTTTTGACCACTTGAAGCTCAAAACTTTGATGCTTTTCTTTCCTTTCTCTGAAAGGCCATCCTGATGGAGAGTGACCAGACCACTTTCTTTCAAGAGGATAGGTTTTTCATTTTCAATCACAAGTATTTAAACTTTTACAGTTAAAAAAAAAAAAAAAAAAA